CCAGCCAAACTACAATTCCCAGAATCCCATCGCCTTGAGCTTTGGCAGTGAAAGTGGTGTCCAACCCGGATTATTTCGGCAGTGCGGATGCGGCCTATTAAGTCGGACATTCTTGCTATGGCATTAGTTTGAATGGGAAAGTGACATACTCCTCACTTTTGGGGTGACTATCTGCTTGCTACTAGTTTGAATGGGAAGGGAAATATTCCTCAATTTTGGGGTGACATTACTGTCTGCTTACTACTAGTTTGATTTGGGGTGACTGTCTGCTTACTACTAGTTTGAAGGGAAAGTGACATACTCCCCACTTTGGGGTGACTGCTTATTCCTAGTTTGGATAGGAAGTGATATACTCCACATTTTTGGGGTGTCTGTCTCCTTACTACTAGTTTGAAGGGAAAGTGACATACTCCTCACTTTTGGGGTATCTGTCTGCTTACTATCAGTTTGAAGGGAAAGCGACATACTCCTCACTTTTGGGATGTCTGTCTGCTTAAACTAGTTTGAAGGGAAAGTGACATACTCCTTGCTTTTGGGGTGACTATCTGTTTACTACTCGTTTGAAGGGAAAGTGCCATACTCCCCACTTTGGGGTGACTGCTTACTCCTAGTTTGGATAGGAAGTGATATACTCCTCACTTTTGGGGTGTCTGTCTGCTTACTATCAGTTTGAAGGGAAAGCAACATACTCCTCACTTTTGGGGTGTCTGTCTGCTTACTACTAGTTTGAAGGGAAAGCGACATACTCCTTACTTTCAGGGTTCCAATCTGTTTACCACTCCTTTGAAGGGAAAGTGCCATACTCCTCACTTTCGGGGTGAGTGTCTGCTTACAACTCGTTGGAAGGGAAAGTGACATACGCTCCCTGCTCCCTTTCGGGGCGACTCTTATCTCCTTCCTCCTAGTAGTACAGACAGACGGGGCAAGTCCTTGAGCCCAAGATAACCAAGTAGTTTAACTCTCTTGATCTCAGCCAGGACGGTTGAGACAAGGTGGCGGGATCCAGGAGGCTGTGGCTGGCTTCCGTGTGCATCGGGGAGAGAATCCGGTTGCAACGCGCGTTCTCCGCTGCCCGGGCTCCGGGCGAGGGAATTCGGGGAAGCGTCCTTTGT